CACCTGCCTGGGAACTTGGCTCATGTAACAGCCATTAATGTCATTCTCTTACTGCTCCCTTTAAAAGCACCAGTCTGTCCTTCCTCTCTTGTTATGCACAGGAGGGGGCTGGTTTTGGAGGCAATAATGCAAGAGCTGAATGGGTCCCTGGGTGAAATGACAGGTCAAAGGGGATGTGGAGATGTTTGCAGGTGCATGGAGGGGGTTGACTGTGAAGAACCCAAATGCTTCCTGGTCCAGGCCATCCTTCCCAAGAAAAGGTTAATTTGCAGCAGTGTGGCCTTCAGCCTTCTCCCCCCACCCTCCATGGAATCCTTTAATCACGTTGGTGTGGTGAAATTTCAGCCCTGAAATGGTGCCTTTGTGCAGTCATTTTGGCGTCTGCCATGGAGCGCGGGGTCGTTTTCTTGTCCTTTTTTTTATTTTTTTTAAATGGCTTCTTTGTTCCCTGCCGGACTCCCCTCCCCAGCCTTGCATCTGTATCAGATACGATTAAAGGGATAGGGAAGGATGCCGGGCCAGCTCCTGCTAGGCTGCAGGAGGAGTGGTTAACCCCTCTGTTACCAGTGGTATTCTCAGTACCGTCTTACTTGCAACAACCCCCCTCTGTGAGAGGCAAATGGTTGAGGCAGAGCCCACTCACTTTCCTAATTTGCTTCTTGAAGAGCTGGAGTACTTATGTAAGATGAAGAACTTTCTTTTCCCACTCTTTTGTTCATCCAAGCTGTGTCACTTGTCTTTCCCACCCATGTGGTCAGCTGTCATATCTCTAATTCCACCATGGCTTCCCTTCCTCCCTACCTGTGCTGATTTGCTCAGCAGTGCCCTTCTGGGCTCTTCCCACAGCCTGTGATCTGAGGTATAGGTTTCTCCTCCTCTCCACGAATGGTCAGTCCTATTTTGCATGGAACTCTTTAGCTGGCATCACTATTATTAGGTTAATTAGGCCATCCTGCTGTGGATGCTCTTGGCCCTATACAGAACTATAGTGCTGTGCTTTTTAAAAAGCTTTGAACATTCCATAGTTCCTAGATGTTCTGCTTACTCTACTCGCCCATAAACTGTTTAGTGAACAGGAGGAACTCACTGCATCTGCTCACGTGCACCAGCATTGAAGCCCTTTGGAATCAACTTGTAATTGTTGGGAGTGTCTGTGGTAAATGGGCTCCTACCGTTCTGCCTTGAGAGATGTTCTTAAGCAGAGTGATACCCGCTACACTTTTTTCTTTCCAGACAAGTTCAGATACCCTCCCAGGACCTGACTATATACAGAATATCTTCTTCAACAACTGAAGAAGTGTATACATGTGTTCTGGAATATACTCTGTGTGTATGAGTGTTTGTGTTTGGGTTCTTGCTTGTGGAAGGCAAGAGGGTGAGGGGTTGAGTTTTTACCAAGAAATTAGTGGCTGCTTCCAAAATACACAAATTTGTGTATGTGGGGAAAGTTTTTTTGAAGGTGTGTCACCTGCTACCTGGTCATGAGGACCCAAGATGAGAAACCCCACATTTCTATCCTAGAGGGCATTAGCAATCACACTAAAAAATTTTTGGGTGAGACAGATGCAAAATAGTGCTCTTGATTGCATCTGCTCTATCTCAGAGGAAGCAATGTTAGTGCTTTTCTCATGGAAGAAATGGCTGCAGGTGAGGTGTAAACAGACGGTGAGCCTCATCTCCATGAAGAGTCTGGCCAGCCAGTCAGAATTGTACCTGTGTCCTCTTCCTGAGAGGCAGAGGAAGGCTGTGCACAGGATCTGTGTGGTGGTGTGTGTGACCCATCATACATGTACTGGGGGAAAAAACAGGCTTGCAGGGAAGAGGTCAAAGAAACCCAGACATGTGAAAATGAAACTTATAAGTTTATTATTCCATATGTTTAATGCGAAGTTAATGGTGCTAGGATGGCACAGAGACTGAGGAAAGGGAGGTAGGGGAGGAAGGTGCTACTTGCATAAATAAGAGGACAGGGCTGGAAGAGATTACATGCGTACAGGGAGCAAACATTCTACATGATCTTTTCAAACACCACAAGGATAAGTCATCTGTAGCTAAGGGAGGCAGGAAGGGCATCTGACAGTCATATCAACAGAGGGATACAGCAGCACCCATCACAGTCCACATTTGGTTAAAGTCTCTTTCTAGACTAGCATATGCATTGGGAAGTCCCACAGCATGTCTCTGTAATCAGCTGTCAGGAATCATCTTTTCCTGTGGCAGTTTTTTTGCCAGTTCACTCCCTGGCATGACAAACCACCCCAGTCCTGGAGGTGACAAAGGAGAAGCAAGCAGACTGTCCTCAGATGTTGGACTGAAAAAGAGGTTGATCTCTAAGACATGGTTGCTTCCAGTTTGAAACCCAAAGGCAAAGAAGATTACTTTGCACCTAAATAGGCTTCTTTCATCATCCAAGATTGGGTCTGTATCTACCTTGCATAAAGCCACAGGAATATCTTTCCATTCTCAGCATAGATGGGAGGGAGGTGTTGGCTGATTGGGAGACATGATGGACGAATGAGTTCAGCCTGGGTCTGGAGTGGGAGCTCAGAGAGTACTGGAATCAACTCGAGGTGTTGGCAAGTGCATCGTAGCTTTCTTGGTGCCTCTTCATTTCATGCAGGCACTGTCAAATGTGGAAGAGCAAAGGCCAGGTTTGCTCAGAGGTCGTTTGGAGCTCTGAAGAGATTAGAAGAGACTGGGAGGCCAGAAATGCCAGACATAAATGAATGGTACAAAGTAATTTAAAAAAAGGAGGATTCACCCGTAGCACCGTAATGATTCATTGGTCCTTCCCCACCTCTCCTCCGCCTTCATAGATGAACACGCATGTGCACACAGGCTGTGATACAAGTAATGCTAAGGCTGGCCATCCTGTTCCCAAATCCCATGTACTGTTCAGGCAAGCCTTCAAACCTCCATGCTGGGAAGAGTGTGGGATTAAACAAAGACAGGAGGGTGGGGAGAGGTGGGGAGAAAAGCTAGGGTGCAGCTGTGGAAATTGGCAGGGAAGCAAGCGTAGGTTGGTCTTCCAAGGGGTTCAAGATTCATGCATGTGTGAATCTTAGGCAGGACTGCTGCACGAGGCTGATTGCAAGGAAGCCGGCCATGCCATCCTCCTTACTGCTCCTCCTGGGATGTGTCCACTGAGGCTGAGCAGCCACCCAACACCTGCAGCAGGTGACAAAATGTTGGCCATTGTGGCCTGTTGGAAAAACTTGCAAACTCCCTGGAGCAGTGTGGGAGGAGAAGGAAAGGACAGTCTCTCTCATCGTACAGTCCAGGGTGTGCACAACAAAACCCACCACAGACCAGTCACTCCATGTCTAGAATCCTCCTCATCTAGAAGGCCAAAAAGGCATTGCAAGCCAGTCATGCGGCCTGTGTGAAATTGGTAAAGGGTGAAAGGACGACAAACCTTCCTCTAGGTGGGTGTGCCAGCGAGAGCTGGGATCAAGAAAGGCACTTCTGTATGCTTGGTGGGTTCTGGTGGCTGGATGGCACTGAGTGACCTTGGAGTTCGGAGGCTCTTCTGCCTGTGCTGATTCTTCGGAGCCTTTCCGTCGCTGCTTCGGTCACTGTTCCCCATTCCCTATGGTCTGGAGAGAGTTGTGTACACGGGCTGTTCCCAATGTGTGGGGCTATGGGACTGTGGCACGGAGGGTGCAGGGTCAGAGATGGCAGTGTAAAGGGGACGTTGGGAAGGTCCCATATAGGAGAAGGCAGAGTAGAGGCCGGAGGCTTGGGTGGAATGGCTGTAGTAGGGTCCCGAGGGCTGGTGGTCCGGGTAGTCAAACTGTGGCCTGGAGATGGAGGGGAAGGCCGAGCCGTAGTGGGGCAGACTCAGGGATGTGTAAGCAATCTGGGAAGTGGAGGGCTGGTCAGTGTAATGGCTTCCAGGGGTGGACCCCTCCGTTTTCACCTGGGCCTTTGAGTCCACCACCGATGAGGTGGCAGTGGACAAGGAGACTCCGTGCTGCTTGGAGATCCAGGCAGAGTGTCCGCTGGCCGCAGCCAGGGCGCTCCCGAGGCCGTAGCCAGCAGCAGCCGCTGCTGCATAGCCCCCGACGTGGCCTGGGTGGCCGGCGTGTCCGTTGGGCGGCAGGTACTGATCGAATTCATTGACATCAAAGGTCTCCATGTTGGACATCACCTCATGGCTGATCTCCCCAATGTCCACATTTCCAAAGTCGATGTGTGGCTTTCCCCCTTCCCCCAGAGAACGCCCTTCTCGTTTGGAATCGGCTTTGCCTGCCTGCATCTCGGTCTTAGGGGTGGTAGGAGGTGTGGGGGGCCCATGGCTCTGACCTGCAATGTGAAGGATATTTTGAAAAGGAAAAAGAGAGAAGAGGTGAGTTACAGCTTTATGACTTGCTCTGTACACAACCCAGTATGCCTTTATGCCTTTATGACTTGCTCTGTTCTTCCCAGTATGCCAGCAGCTGTCTAGCTGGAGGCTTTCGTGGAGGTAGAAAGAAATAGATGAAACTAAATCTCTTTGTATCATTTTGTGGAAAAAAAGGGAGGATGTAACGATACCTTGCCTGACCAGAGAAATGCAAGTGCCTCTGAAACTCAGGCATGTCCCTGTACTGCTGACACCAGCAGTCTGCTGGGTCGAGAGTAAGTTGTGAGCCCCATCACTAAGGCTTTCACCACGATGACTTATCTTTTTTGAGCCTCTGGCTTGGCTGTAGTCTGTCAAGAGATTCACTGAGACCCAAGACTCACCTGAGGAGTGTTCTGGATGACCGTCGGACATAGGCGACCCTTCGCCGGGATGCCTGTGATCCAGGTGGGCATTCTTGTAGTGGGCCTGGATGGCAGCAGCCCCACCAGCCTCCCCTTCTACCTGTCCTTCACCCTCACCCTGTGTGGCCTTGCCGTTTTTCCGCCGGCGGGGCTGGTACTTGTAATCGGGATGGTCCTTCTTGTGCTGCATCCTCAGCCGCTCCGCCTCTTCAATAAAGGGCCGCTTGTCGCTTTCGTTCAGTAACCTGCAGAGACCAAGGTGGGAAAGAAGAGAAGAGGGAAAGAGTGGGGTAGGTCCCTCAGAAAAAAACACCTATGCTCAATATTGTGGGACAGGGTGTGTAAATCCAAATGCCAGGATGTTGCCCCATGGAGGGTATTCCCCAAAACAATAGGAAGATCTTGGAGTGTTTCCATGGAGACAGCAATGCTTTCCTTCTTCTCCTTAGACATTAAGCCCTGCTACTGGTTGGTGCCGGTGCTGGGTCCCCCTTCCCCACTTGTGTGATGCTTCTCACCTCAGTAAGTTCAATTTACCCTCTCTTCCACTGCCAAAAGGCGAAGTGCAGCCTTTTGTAGCTGTGTTAAATGAGGGTGGATGAGCTGCTTTTAAAAACTTCGGACAAATTAAGGGCAGTTGCAATTGTCCTTTGGACAAAGGTAGTGTACTACCTGTAGTGCTGCCTGCCCTATGTCTCTTGCTCTTCCCCAGACTGTATTTGTTAACCTCCCCCCTTCTATAGGCTTTGATCCTAGTTTGAGGCTGTATGGAGCACCAATAGGAGCAATTGATATTGGCTCCGCAGGAACCATGTAAAGCTACCTTTAGTAATTTTGCAATATTCTAAAAGGGAATTTGGAAGTTTGGAAAGGGCTAGAAACCTTAGCAGAAAGAAAATTTGGAAGGGCTAGAAACTGTATTCTATTATTCCTGGAGCTCCTGCTCACCTCAGACATGGATAACGCAAAAGGCTGAAGCACAAAGGACCAGCCTTCCTTGAACTTGGCCAAGCAGTTGAAAAAATTTAGCTGCTGTTTTGCTAGCTTTGTAGAAGTAGATGAGCCTTGGTTTCTGGATGAAAGGCACTGCAGAAATGTAAGCTCCTTGCCTGTATTCCTGCCAGATCATGGGCTGCTCTAGTTAAGGCTCTCTGAGGAAATGGTGAAATGCACAGGCAGAATGCCTCAGAGCACTTGAAGATAAGATCAAACTCATTGCTCAAGCCTTTTGCAGCATTTCAGCTGGTAGCACTTCAATTTCATATTATGATTTTCCTCCTCATATTCTTGTGACTCAAGGTCATCCTTCCTTGAATCAAAACCCAGGGCTGTCAGAAGGGACCAGTCTTCTTGTGACTGGGAACTCAAAACAGCCATTACGGATGGCAGGGCTCACAAAGAGCCAAAAAAAAATTATGCTACGTCCCCACCTTTTTCTCACCAGCAAAAGAACTACATAGGGATGGGACTGTACCAGCACCTTGCCACCCCTGAAGCCCTTAGCACTAAAATGTGACCAATTCTGTTTAGCTGTAGGCTCTGGGCAAGATATAAAGGCCTGAACTGACCTGAAAAACTCAAGATCAAGTGGAGGTATGGCTGAAGGAATATACAGGTAAATCTGGTGGGCAATCAGATTGGTCACCAGCAAGTAATGGGTTGGTCCCTAAACACCCTTTTCCCCCCTGCTCCTTGTGCATTGCCTCGGCTGGTAGATGGAAGGTGTGTGACATGGTGCTGACCTGGGTTCACTCCAGTCAGCCTGAGCAGGTTGTGGCCACACACCACATTCCTCCACTGCCTTAATCCTGGAGATTAAAGCAACTGAACCACCATGAATCCAGCACCAGCTTTCCTGTCTCCCTCCCGCCACTGTATACCACGCTCACAAGTCCCAGAGAGTTCTAATCCCTCAGCCTGTGCTGCTCCAGACAGCCCTCTAAGGGTCAGCCCCCATAGGCCTTGTGGACTGGGGGCAACTTTACCTTGGCAAAATCTTCATCTTTATGGAATGTGGGATATGGAGAATAGAAGCAAAACCTGCAAAGCTCAGCCTCTGAGATCTGTCTTGTGAATCATGGAGCCATTGGAGGCTACACAGGTGTAAGATCTCTGCCCTCTGAGCTATGCTGAAGTGCCTCACCTCCTCTCCCCTTGAGAGCAGCCCGTGGGTAGTGCCACCAACAGGACAGAGGCAAGTCCACTCCCCACATCTTCTCTTCTCTCCAAGGCTGCCTGCTCCCTCCTCCCTGCCACTGGGATCAGAATTCAAATCAGCTTTAGCAAAGTGAAACTGGTGCAAGCAGGCAAAGGCCAGGAGATTTGGGGGGATTTGGATTTCACTTGCTTCCTGCCCTCCCCCTCCTGCCCCCCACGCTCTCCAGGCCATAATGCAAAGGAATCTCGCACGAGCAGAGAAGTTACGGATCACAGAGCAAAGCCCTTCATGGGGCTTATCCAAGCCCGACACCAAATGCTCACCCCTGAGTCAAGGGGAGAGCGGCAAGCACCCAGCCCCGCACTCTTGGAGGAGAAAGGAGGGCTAAAACCTTCCTGCTCGCCTCTCAGAGCCTCTCCTTCTGCCCCCTGGCATGGCACTGCTCCGTGTGCTGGGCGCCTGGCTCAGCAGCCAGAGGCCTGACCCTGGCTGGGGCTCAGCTGCCAATGGGTCAGTGCGGTGATGGGCTTGGGCACTGGGGCTGATGCAAGGTGAGAGCTGGCTGGGAGCAGAAGGCAGCTGTCCTACACATCCATGGCCCTAGATTTTGTGGGCATGAACCAATTCCCTGCGTGTTGCCACCCTCATGCAAAGATCCCTCCATCGCGGCCCTTTGCTCCTCCCTACCAAGCCTTCCTCCCCGTCTTCCTGTGCCTCCCTTGTTTTCAGCCCTGGAGGTGGTGCTGGCATTTTGGCTGGGAGTCATGCTGACATTTTCAGCAGCCAGCCTCCATTTGAGAGCTGCTCCCTGTCCCACCCTGGGAAAGGAAAGCATTCAAGGACAGATTTCATGACCGTCAAGCACAAAAATTCTCCCTTCTTTTTTAGTATGTCCCATTTGTTGTCTGCACCCATCACACACCCTAATGGATACAGACTGGGGGAGGTGGATCGGGCCATAAGCCCCCTGGCACTGTGTTTGGGGTCAGGCAGGTAAAGTGGCCATCAGAGCATATCCTGCAGCCCCTTCCAGTGAGGACGGGTGCCTGTGGAGGACATGGCGGTGCAAATTCTGGGCTTAAAAATAAATCCTGCACTGTTGCATCCTATTCTGCAGGTGCCTCTCAAGATTTCCATCCTCTTCCATCCCCACCCAGTGCTGTTTGCTGGAGATGTGTTTGTTTTAATGATGGTCTGCAGGAAGTCCGTGTGGTCACCAGCCTTTGCCTCTAACCCACCCTTTATCTGTATAAGCTCAGAACAGCCAACATTTTCCCAAGTAACGAGCTATGGCAGTAGGGTTCCAGTGGCCACCTTTGCAAGGACATTCATCAAAAGTTTGAGGCTAAGCCATGCAGAAAAATCCTGTCTGCTTGCAGCTGTACCCATGTGTAGGAGCTATACTTGGGGGACAGTGCAGATCAGGCAGTGGGAACCTCAGCAGAAGAAGCCCAGCCATACCATGGCTGGAAGGCATGGGCTACTATCCTGGTAACATTTGGGCCACCTCCCCTGGAGTTTTGTGGTTGATATTTCTCCCCAGCCTCACAGAAATACACACATATATGGCCAGAGATTGACTGTAGCCATAACCCAGCTTGCTGCATTGTGTGATCTCCGTAGGGGCTGGCACAGCTTGGAGATCCTCAGCATGCACGAGGAGAGGAGACGTTCAAGAGAAGCACCCAGGTGGCAAACTCAGCAGCTTACAACAACCCCAGGCCTGACCCTGTAAGCTTCTCATCTGAGCTTCCTGCCTGTGTTGTGCCCTAAGAAACACACAGGGACCTTGACCATTGTCTGGCAGCAGTGGCCTGCTGCTCTGGGTGCCATGTGGCCAGCAGCGGGAGCCATGTCCTGGAAGCAGGGAGGCATTTGGGTGTGTGACTGTGGCTGTGGGCTGGGGGCTCCCTCTCCCTGTGCTCTGAATGCAATTCCTGTGGAGGTTTCACTGCTCTGCTATATTTTCAAGGAAAATACAGTGCCTGGTGAGAGACATCCTTGCTCTAAAATCTGGCAACATTTTGCAGTAAAGGAATGATATCTTGAAATCAACATTTTGGGAACAAAAAGAGTAGGTCCCCCCCACACACCCCTTTTCAACACAGCTTTACAATCCAGAGGCTGGCAGCAGAGTCCCAGGTGAAAGCAAGTGCTGTGGTAAAGGGAAAGTAGAGGAGATCCAAGCAGGAAAGAAGATCAGATGAGACATTCACAATCAATGCTCTGCCTTTGACTTCCCAAGGAAATCCCTTTGCTGGGGTTACGTTAGACACTCAGGAGTCACAGTAAACAGGCTAACATAGCAGAGGGAGAATCTAATGCCCAAGGGTTCGTTCCTTGCGAGCTAGGCTGTTTGAAGCTAGGAATGAATAGCTGCTTCAGAGAGGGTGTTTTGAAGCTTCTGCTTCAAAAAATGTGTCTTGGCTCATCCAAAACTGAGGGCTTTCTCTATGAAAGATGTCAGGATGTGAGAATGAGAGGGCTGTTTGCATGAGCCTTGGTTTGCCTTGATTGGCGTGAGGCAGGGGACTGTGCTGGGGACTTGTGGCAGAAAGTAACAGGTTGGTGGGGTTATCAGCAGAGAGCGTCCGACGGGAAGGGTGCGGCACAGCCAGCCTGACACGTTTGGCTTTGGCACAACGGCTCTCTGCACACTCCTGGGCTGGCTGCACTCGATGAGAGCAGCCTATGGATCTGCTGGAGGAAGAAGGCGAGGCTACTCAAAGGACCCAGGATCTGCACAAAGTGAAAATAGCTGCTCAAACTGGTGGTGCCAAAGAACAAGTGTATGTGTGCTAGTGAGAAGGGAAGGCATCTCTCTGCAAAGGAAGATGGGGTTTGTTTGAGCCAGCATATTCCAAGAGAGCCTGCTAAGGCTGGAACTCTTGCAGGTCTCTTCCTCTCTGCTAAGCCTCAACCCCTATTTCTACCAGTCTCTCCTTGTCCATCTTACTGCACCTGCATGGCCTGCCAAAAGTGGGACCGTCCTAGGAAGGATGGGTGTCAGGCTCTGACTGCCTGTCTCCTTTCCCCTGACCTTCCTCCTCAGCTATAAATCCCTCTGCTTTGTGGCACTGCCCGGAAAAGAAACCCTGTTGGTGCTGGGATCTGAGTTCAGACAGGCTTGAGGCAGCCACCTGTGACTTAGCTCTTAAGTCTTGAGCTCAGCCAGTTTACTGCTGCTGCACAACTGAGCCCTACAGGGAGGGTGAGCCAAGAAAACAAGATCTCCCCAGGCAGTCAGGCAGGGAGGACCAGAATGAGAGTGTCCTCATCAGAAACAATAGGGAAACTTAGTAGGAAACAAATGGAAAGGGCTGCTGCTCAGGGCAGAGGTGAGCTCTGCTGAGGAAACTTTCCCTACATCCAACCACCACTCTTGCTCCAGTCAACAACTGCACCTCCTGTGAGGGGGCTCACTGTACAGAAGTCCCCTCGAGAGACACCCCTTCCATCCTTCCACATGACCACACAGTCCTCTTGAGTTCACCTGCAGACCTCAGCCCTCCCACCCCACATTCACCGCTCTCCCTTACCTCCAGAGCTTCCCCAAGGTCTTACTGAGCTCGGCGTTGTGCAGGTGCGGGTACTGGTCAGCCAGTTTCCTCCGGGCAGCCTGTGCCCACACCATGAAGGCATTCATGGGCCTCTTGACGTGGGGTTTGCTCTTGTTACTTCCATTGACCCGGACTGGCATGGGAACCAGGGTCCAGTCATAGCCACTCAGCACCTGGCTGACTGCCTCACGGATGCACACCGGGAACTTGTCATCGTCCGCCTCCGAGTCCTGCTGCTCCTTCTTCACCTTCCCCATCTCACCATTCCCAGAGCCAGTGAGGTGCGGAGAGTTGTCTGATGCCATGGAGGGTCCTGGGGAGAGGCAGTGGTGGTCTTCAGAGCCCACTGGGCTCATCTCCACCTCCGAAAGGTCTTGGTCGTCAGCCATCGTTGCTCTCAAGCTTTCCCTCTTCCTTCTTGCTGTCCTTCTTCTCACTGGGGAGGGAAGGGAGGAAGACAAAAACAAAGGAAAGAAAAGAAAAAAAGGGGAAAAGAGAGAAAATGAGAAGCAACCACCAAATCTGAAAGGGACTCCAAGATCCCTGAAGAACTGACCAAGAGACAGGGGCTGCTCAATTAAAGTGCACGCAACGCAATTGCCGTGCACACCACAGAACCCGTGATCAGTGGGGGTGGGGATGGGTCGGGGCCCCTGATTAATTGGGATATTGCTCCCTATCTCTGCAATCGTGTGGAGCTGGCATGTGGGGAAGGACCTGCAGCAAGAGGTATAATGAAAGTTGAGGACCTGAAAGAGGAGAGACATGCACCATTCTGCCTGGGCACAGCATCCCACAGAGGAGTGGAATGTGGAAGAGAGCCACCAAACTTGGAGGGGAAGTGCCTCTTTATTTCAAAGACATACAGTGAAATGTCTGGAGGGAGGCACGGGAGGGGAAGCACCAGCAGTCTGTCTATAATCCAGAAGGGACTGATACCCCAGGTGCCAGGGAGCCTGAGCGGGTGGCACCACCATGCAGAGAACCAGCCCAGGCCCGGGCTCCACACCCAGAGACACCGATCCCAGCTGTGAGAAAGTGCTTCTGTGGGGACATCTCTTCCCTCACTCTCCTCTCACTGCTGATAATCCAAAGGCTTAAAATACATCTACGCTCCATCCACACACACCCTCCAGTATATGTGTGTATGCATATGCATGCTCACAGTCATGTATCTGCATCTGTATCTGTATCTTATCTGTATCTGTATCTTATCTGTATCTGTATCTGTAACTATCCAGACAAAAACACAACCAGATTTAACTTTGAGACAAGTCATAACTTTGGGTTGCCTGTCCCACACACTCTGCCTTTCTCCTTCCGTCTGCAGTCACCTCTAAAAGTCCCTGCTGCTGTGCAGCAGTTCCCCCCTAAGAAAAAAAACACTGTAAAAATAAAGGCCTCTCTATCCTCCCCATCTAGAAATTAAAAAAAAAAAAAGTAGAAGAAGAAAGAAATTTAAAAAAAAAAAAAAAAGTGATGGAAAAGCATGCCTCTGGCTTAACTGGAAAAAAAAAAAAAAAGCCAGTGCATAGCAAGAGCTGCTGTCCCTCTAGTTTCAGAGGGAAACACAGACTCTTGTTTGGAAAAATGAAGAAAGTAAGAGAAAGTAGAGGGGAAAAAAGCACGAACGAAAGCCTGCACGTGTGAAAGTGAGCTCAGGTAGGAAAACTTACATTGCTGGCCGGTGTGCCGGGCAAATCCTGCAGGGCTGTGATCCCAATAGCCCCCCTGCTCTCTCTCCAGCCCCAGCGGTGTCGGGGCGCGCAGCACGGGGAGGCTCTCAAGCGAGTGCCATTCCTGGAGGGAGGCTTGGTTTTTACTAATACCCCGGCTGGATGTCTCTAGCTGGCTTTGCTGCTTAGCACCGGGGGAGGGAAGGGCGGAAGGTGGAGCCAAGCACTCCTCAGAGCCAGAGTACGGTCGGCCAGGGACGGCGGGGAGGGGACACAGGCCGCCCCCCACCCCACCTCTGCCACCAGTACATTCCCTGTTTTCCATGGTGCCAGCTTCTTCATGGGAATTGTTGGCATTGCTGCTCTCAGTGGCATGGCCACCCCAGAGTTGGTGCTGGAGGATTCAACCCTGGCAGGTTGGGGTGGTGGGATGCTGGAAGGGGTGTGGGTGGTTTGGGGAGAAGGGTGTGCATCCTCAGGATGGGGGTCCCTCTCCTTCTCCCTGATATCATGGTTACTCCTGAAGGATCTAGCACTCCCCATGTGCTAAATGAGTCCCTAGTCCTCATCACAGAGTCGCATGAGGATTCCTCTATGCTGAAACAAGTTGTCCTGGGACCCTGGGGTCAAGGCACTGTGAAAAGGTGTACAGATACAGATACAGATACAGACCTGTATCTGCAAGGTAGGGAAGGGGATGCAGGGGATCAGAGGTGTTCTGAGGGTGGAGAACATCAGGTCCAGGGAAAATTCCATGCTGCTGGACAGTGGATACCAGTTTGAGCTTTCTTAAAATTTTTTTACTCTAGGGGTGGGCTCCGTGGGATCTTGCCAAGATAAGCAGGCTCTGCTTCCTCCAGCAAGCTGAGCTGCTCCTATAGGCAAGCATGGTCTCACAAGGAAAGTGGGATTTCCTAATGAGAAGGACTCTCACCCTCATTCTTGCTGCTTGTGCACTGGGACATGTAATAGATCTCAGCTCTCAATGGTTTAGAAAGTTCTCCCTCACATCTTCGTTTTCCGACTCACTTTCCTTCCCACATGCCTCTGGTTGTTGGTTTCTTTAATTTCTTTTGTTACCAGGGCTCATATAGACCAACACCAACTCTGTAACCATGAAAAGTCACCCACAAAATTTCTGATGATCTCCTATGGTGGCAATGAGATAAATGAGCTCCTGCCCCAGCTCCCTGCTGCAGACCCAACCTAAAGACATTTCAGTGCTAAGTCAGAAAATACAAAGAGATTAATGCCTATGACCCAGGCAAACAGCTTGGAGGGATTTCAAGAACATTTTCAACTCCTATAACAGATATTCACTCTCCAGAAGCTTTGTGTTAGAAAGACCCAGAAAACCATTGGCTGGCACCACAGGAACTGGAACCACTGGAACTATGAGGTGCCACAGGAAAACCCTGCAAACTGTCTGACAGCTTAGGGCTGTTTCCCTGCATGCCTGGTGTTGCCTGGAGTAAATAAAGCACTGAAACCATAGGGGGCTGCAGGGAAAACCTCACTAAATCCCAGTGAGAAGCCTTTACTGAACAGAGCTGGGAGGGGGAAATGGTTACATGCCACTGGGATCAAGCAGGCATCTCTGCTTAAACAGGCTGCTTACATCCCATAATAAAATGTAACTGTCAAGGGATCATCTCCTACCTTTCCTCTCTTCAGTATTGCCTACTCTGGAAAAGAAGATGGATTCAAATACTTTTCTTCACATGATGCCTTTTTCCCTTTGGAAGAGAGGAATGTGAGTGTC